TATTTCTAAATGTGTTTCCCTCTCATATAGATAGATAGATAGATAGAGAGAGAGAGAAGAGAGAGAGAGGAGAGAGAGAGAGAGAGAGAGAGAGAGAGAGAGAGAGAGAGAGAGAGAGAGAGAGAGAGAGAGAGAGAACTATCTTCACACCTTATGACATGGCATAGATGTCCAGGTGGTAATAAAGAAACCCTCATAGCTGATGGAAGAGACCAGCAAGGTGCCTCTTGCATCTTACAACTCTTTACTGTAAGTAACTCAAAACCTAGCCGGTAAAGAGACTGATAATAAAAGATGTGTCAAATCACCACTGCCAGAGACTATTTTGCCTAACCTGATTTTCCCGCTCTCAGACGAATGGAACCCATCATCACCACGCTAGTACACCAAAAAGCTCAGCTGTGGTGATGGTGGAGCAGCGGGCTTGGCAGTGGTGGTTAAGAACGTAGCGTGCAGTTTCTGCTGACCTAAGACCTCGAGCTTGGTGGTTGGCTGGAGCGCCTTTGACTCCTGCACACTTGGGCAGCAATAATCACCGACTGTTCCTGAGGACCTTCACAGACTTGCAAAGGCAACTCTCCATGCTCTGAAGAAGAGTGGCAGCGTGCCGAAACATCTTCTGTCAGTCTGAGGGCAGTCTCTATGACCAAGAGAAAGGAGGCAGCATGACAAAAGTCCACTGCCATTATCAGTTGCTGCAATGCCCTCAACCAGGCGATATGGGCCCAAAAAGAATGGTACATGACCTGCACAATTGCAAAAAAAAAAAAAAGGGAAAAAAATGAAAGAAATTTACTCCCTTGCTATTCCTCTCGTTGAACTCCACACATAAGTTGACTGGCAAGAAACCACACGTCCATGTAGTGGTTGGTAATCAAAAGTATCATCTCGGCTCCACAACTTCGAAAGTAGTGTCGTGTGTCCAGGAATGACTCACAGAACTACCTATGGTTTCCCCAGTTCCGAACGTCACTGTTCCAGTCATACATATGGTGACTGGGTCGAGGAATTTGTGCTCCTGGATCTCGTCAGATGCTCCAGTTGAGGATTCACCATTTGGTGTTGCCGATCTCTCTCCGGTGCCTGCTGGCATCTCCTCGACACCTACATCAACCAGAGATGCAAAGAGAAACATTGAGATCACCAAACAAACCAGTACAGCAATGGTTACAACAAGCCGAATAATTTAGTCTCTTATCCAGATTGGATCATTTCTCAGAAAAGAAAGGGGTTCTTTGAACTTCTTTCATCATTGCATCACCTAGAAGGCAGTGGAAGCCGGCAGCTTTTTTCATTTTGTTCATCTGATTGCATCGGCATCTGGATTCGAACCTGGGTCTGGATTTCAAGAGTTCAAGGAAGCCGGCACCTTTGATCAGTCAATTATCCGAAAAGATTTGATGGAAGCCCAAATGTGCAACCCAAATGTGCAAAACGGCCTGACAAATTGGTAAGTGCTAGGAAGCATGAGTCAAAGAGCTTGGACTTGAATCTAGGGTCAGGTTCTTAGTCTGAGTCCGAGTTATGGAGTCGTAAGTCGCTGTCACATGGGGCAGTTGAGGATTTACTATTTGGCACTGCCGCTCTATCTCTGGTGCCTGCTGGCACGTCCATGCTACCTACAGCAACCAACGATCAGAAGAGAAACAATCAGGGAGCAACAAGAGGCATTACTGCATAAGTGCCATTCAGTGACCGCTACGTTGCAGCCAATGCAGCCCTCTTTTTTTGTTTTTTCCTTGGCCTTATAGATGGCAGGGGAGGAGGGGGTAGGCGGGCGACACTGCATGAGCAAGTGGAGAAAAAGGAGGCGGTGGAGGAGGAAGGTAGGAGGAGAAGGCACCAGAGGAGGGCGAGGTGACCAAAGAGGAGGGGGATGGGGGAGGAGGAAGTGCCAGAGAACAGGGAGGAGGATGAGGGGGTGGTGGAGGAATGGGTGGGAGGAGGAGGCGGAGCAGGAGTGCGCTGTGAGCATAGCCGTGGCTGGCATCCGCTTGTTCTTTCTAATTACTGGTTGCATGCATGCAATTCGATAGTGTACGTCCGATGCGATGTGTTAATGCACTGCCTAACCCTTTGCCGCAAAGTGTGCAGCGCTGCTCACCAAGCTCGTGCCCCTGGCACTTTGGTGCCTGCAGACAATGCACAAACCCAAGCTGGTTCTAAATGAAGCTGGAATCACTTGAGTAGTTCTTCGACCTCTTTCTCCCTTCTCCGACTTGCTGTATTAGTGAAAAGGAAAACACCTTGGAGGCAGGTGGAGCAAACAGGGAACATGAATGTCTGCTTATTAACGTCTCTTCCATATCGGATGGGAAACCGAAAATAGTACAAAAAATAACATACTGATCCTTCCAATAGCTAGTTTCCTCTCTTGTCCATTGTCCGCTCTTTTTCGTTCTGGATCTCTTGGATAATAATGGCCATTGATTAGTGATCATTCACAAGTGAAATTGGATAGAGGACTGGTTGCATGGGCTTTCAAGGAGGAGCAGTGGTCTCATGCCTGCTTCTTTCGATTCTGACTGCTCTTTCTCGCTCATCTCTGTAATCCCTTGCTTCAAACACTCCTCCAGTTCACGCAAAACACAGTTCATGTCTGGCCGTGCGCGTCGGCTCTTCTTCGTACAGTCTTCGGAGAGCTTCACAAGTCTTTCCAATGCTTTTCTTGGATACTTGACAGCACCAATTTCAGGAGCAATGACTGCCTCTATCCCACCTGCAGCGAACTGCTTACAGACCTGATAAATGAACCGAAAGATTTATCAATCAATGCAAGTAAGAGTTTAGAGAATTACGATTTGGCAGGTGGGAAAGAGGGTTCAAACACATTAATTGCACGTTGGGAAATGTACACACAATGAGGCCTGTGTCTTCTTGCAGGCGGCTAAACGTGATATGGACCAGGATAGGTAAACTGAGATCCCTACTGGTTGAGGCCGGAGGGTTCCTGTTACCTTTACGGAGTTTAATTACCCAAAAAACAGAATAAAAATCAGCGATATGAGGGCAAAGTGAAAGGGTTCAAGAACCTTAGCAGTCCTTGATCAGTTCCAAGTCCAAAGTCCCAAGTCCCAGTCCAGAGTCCCAAGTCCCAAGTCCCAAGTCCCAGGTCCCAGCTCCCAGCTCCGAGTTCCAGGTCCCACTCCTGAGTCCCAGGACCTAGTCCCAAGTCCCATTCTGTATTCCATTAGTGGTTCCAGCCACTTGTACAATATTCACAAACACTCCAGGAGAGTAGTTTTTGTTTGCACCATGATTATGGGCCGGTGAGCAGGTTAGTAAGTAGATCGTGGCAGGAAGTCCCTGCTAGATAACAGTTATGGGTTGGGAGTCTTCTTTTAGAAGATACCACAAGCCTCAGCCAAGACCTCAAAGGTGGTTAGGCCAGGTGTCAGTCAGGTCCAAGTAGAACCCGTGAGCTTCCAGAAGCAGCAAACAAGGAAAGGGGAGGCAACCCATAACCGGCAGAAGCTGTCTGGACGGCGGATCAGCAAGTATAAAAGCCCAGCAGCACCTGGACATCAGGACAGAGCGTGTTGGGCACTCAATACGGAGGCGCTGCGGCTGTCTTGTGAGTTGGAGAGGCGACCAAGTCAGTGAGGGTAGTGCAGTGTAGTCAATGGTGCGGGGCGCGATAGCCATAGTTGCAGCGTGGGAGTGAGGAAGACATTCCGAGAGAGAGAGAGAGAGAGAGAGAGAGAGAGAGAGAGAGAGAGAGAGAGAGAGAGAGAGAGAGAGTTACCTGCTTGCTTAGTTGAGCGGCCATAGCCGCGGCTGACGAAGAAGATGATCGAGTTGGTGTGATTTCTGAGACTCTTTTGGCTGCTGTGTGCCTTGCCTGAGTGCGGTGTGATGTGGAGCTTGTGTTTGAGTGTGCCATGCAAGGACCAGCATGCTGGTCTCATTTGAAAAGAGGCAAAATCCTGAGTACCAGTCGGGATTTTTTAGCAAGCTGGTCCAGATCCTATTTTAGAGATCCAGAAGCTGATTGTACCTCGTAACGGCCTATATGCAGTCCGAGTCCATGTTAGATTAGTCTGCTTTGATGGTGGGCTGCACAGCTGGCCGCAGAAGAATTGCGTCTGCCAAAACAGGGACTTCCCTGAGAAGCAGTAAGGCAGCCAAAGGGTGGGTAACGCTAGGCTGGGTACACTTTGAAGATAGACATGCTTCAGATTGTAGCATCATCTTGGGATGTATGGCGTCCAGTGTTGGAGGCTTGATACCAGTTTATGGTCATAATTGGACTTCATTGCCCACTGTGCTACATGAGGCCACCGAGGAGTTCCGCGACCTTGGTGAGGGACAGTGAAGCTAGAAGCAGGGTATATCTTCTTCTGTTCTCTTCTTCTGGCTATGACTGGTTATGACTACGGTAGGTAGAAGCATGCAGGAGAAGACGCAGGGGGCACAGGTATCGTGAAGGGTGACCAGGGAGGCGGAGAACGGACTAACCTTTGAGAGATGGTTCACATCTTTGTATCCACGGAGGAGTTATCTTCATATAAGTTTGGGCACTTGGCTTCTTGAGGCCCTGGTGGACCCGAAAGACGGCTCTCACCTCCATATCCAAGTGCTGGAAGCTTTGGGACTCACTTTGAGTGCCCCTTTGCGGCAGTATCTGCTGGCATGGCACTTGCCAGACACTATGTGATGGTGATAGGGAAGCCTGGTTGTTGTCCTTGGAAACTATGGGACTCCTTCGTTTTGCAAGAGAATAAGATTTGACAAAATGTCCCTCGGAACGATACACAGAAGATTAGCATGGCCCCTGCATAAATCGAGAAATGGTCTAAATAAATTAAAAAATATTTTTTTTTTTTTGACAATCAGGGTAGCAGTTCAATGAGAAGGAGGTGAAAAGGGAAGTGAATTCTCTTTGCTATTCTAAGATAATTCTCTCCCCAGCCTCTCCCCACACTCTCCCGATAATTCTCTCCCCACCTGCTCCCCACCCTCTCCTCACCCTTTCCCCGCTCTCTCTCTCTACCCTCTCTACTTTTCACAAACCCTCTCTACTGTATTCTTTCTCCTCTCTCATTGTCATTCTTCTTTTCTTACTGCTGACTTTGAGTTATGCAAGTGTATGGGCATGTCCAAAATCCTCCAAACTCTCTTGTCATGCAATGGCAAAATACAACCACCGGGCATCCCTCCATCCCTGGATAATCATTACCAAATCATCAGCGCAAAGCTGATTGTCGGGTCAGGTCTGGAATGCACAAGAACACGAAACAAAAAAGGGTGTGGCCTGCTCGGATAATTGCAGGGAAGCGATCGACAGTTTACACTTAAAGAGTTCCAAAGTCTTCCAGACATATGGAGTAATGAATGCTGCTCAGGGGTCCTCCAGTCAAACGGAAGGAAGTGTGAGGGTGTCTTTGTTGTATATCTGACTTGCCGGTGGAATAGAAACCGGACTCTTGCCCCCCAGAATGGATATGGAGCCAGGGTTGCGAGGATTTCTTACCTTGGCATGCCCAAGAAGGGGCCCACTACTTGTCCTGCGCCAACCCTAAGTGAAGGCGGGCCCCCATAGCTCAATGAGGCCTGAATTTCGCAACTTCGCAGGCCCTGGTGGGCGCCAGACAGTTACCTTGCGCCACTTGGTTACATGGGCCCTGCTCGTGAGCATCTGAATCTTTCACGAGCTTCTTGGCTCTTCTGGCCTTGACGTGGAAGCAAGCTTCTCAGCCTATCATGACGCAGGAAGCCTCTAACTGCTTCGGTCCCAGGCCACCATCTGAATCGGGCCTGGGCGCAGACACTTTGGCCCAACGTGAAGCTACTGGGCACACGAGCAAGCCAGCCCAAGCAGCCTTCAGGCCAGGGCACTTCACATACAGGACGGCTTAAAAGCCACGCCAGCAAGCTCTCATCATCCAGCATACGCCAGCAGTGCCACGCCAGCAGTGCCACGTCAGCAACAGTGCCACGTCAGCAGTACCACGTCAGCAACAGTCCCCGCCACCATGACGGTCTCAGTTCCGGGCATGCCAGGCCAACTGGCCAATGAGTCCATTGCCGAGTACCGACAGCGGTTCGAAGCTCAGCTCGCACTGATCGAGGCTGAGGAACAGCGTCAGGCAGCAGCCGAAGCTGCCCGCCTACAAGCTGAAGCGGCGGCAGCAGCTGAAAAGCAGCGGCTTCAGGCCGAAGCAGACGCAGATACCCAGGCACGCCGCAAGGAGGCCCAGGATCTGCTACAACGGCATGAAGCCGCCAGCATCGAAAAGCTCAAGTTCTGGCATTCTGAACCATCCGAGCACCACGAAGACGCGACACCGGAGGAGCAGCACAAGGAGTTTCTTGCCAAACTCGTGACCCGGTTGGTTTACACTTGTAACCACCTGCAGTCCGAGCTGGCGAATCTCCGACGGGCGATCCGGAACCACAAGGATCTGCACGAGGATGCTACACGGGCACTTGATTCCCGTGTACAGGACTTGGAGCAAGTTGCACCAAGACCAGATGCTGGCGAGTCCAGCAGTGCACCCTCTACCCGCCAATTGGAGGAACGAGTTGACCACGTAGTCGCAATGCTAGGTGACATCAGCACCTTCGCTGCATCGGCCACCATCAGCAAGCAGCTGGACACCTTGAAGACCGAGGTTCAGCAACTGCACCAGCTGCCCAACAAGGATGGCAACACCAGTGTGCAGCACTACAAGATGCTGACATTCCGCATCGAAAAGTTCGACGATTATACGCATCAAGACCCGGTCCCCTGGTGGGAGGGCTTTACGACGGAACTTCGGATTCTTTTTGTCCCCGAGCACTCGTACATCCGCGCGTTGTTCCTCAACTCAAAGGGCGGATGCCAGATCTGGCTCAGCCACCTGGCAACCATCCACGGCATCCAAGTCGCCGATCTACATAAGAAGATCTCTTGGGACGAGTTGACGAAGATATGGAAGAAGCGGTTCATTGTGGACGACGCCCCAACGCTCGCCATCAACCGCGTCTTCAGCATAACTCAAGGCAACACACCAACACGTGACTGGCTCACGGAATGGCAAAAGATCGTGGCAACGCCCGATCTCGAGTTGCCATTTTAGTATCTGCGTCGAGAGTTCTACAACCGGTCATGTGCCGCCTTGAGCCCCGCACTTGGTGATCACGAGCAATACACGACCTTCGCCGAAATCATCGACAAGGCAAGGGAGATCATCAAGACCAACAGGGCGGCTGCACACGAGAAGTCAGCGTGGCAGCCAACCTATGTGGAGAAAGGAAAATTTGGTCCGCGTCCGCAGCATGTCGCTGCAGTCCAACCGGACAACATTGTGGAAGACCCGGCATCCACCCAAGCATCACGTGAGGGAGATCAGGTAGCCGCTGTCCAGCCGTGAAGCAGCAACAACTCCCGAGGAAAAGGGAAGGCGAAAACCGCATCGCCAGCTGGAAACGGACAGCCAGCACCATGGGTCACTTGACCGAGGCTGAATACAAGTGGCGCGCGGCCGGTATGGCTGCTGCTATTGGTGCAACAACACCAAGCACAAGATCTCCCTATGCCTGGATCAAGGCAAGGAGGATGTTCGGCCTCTCATCAACTCGGGAAACTGAGTTGCACGGGAGGTGAGGCGACTCCACCTCTCACTCCACCAGATTCGGCCGCCTTGCTAGCGGCCTCCTACACATCTGGGGAGGATGCGAATGTCGCAAGTCCTCGGTTCACTTACGAGGATTATGTTGTCCACTTGGTCCCACTGTTGGACTAACCACTCCACGTGAAACAATCCACGGCATGCATGGTTTCACCACCATCGGCAACCCATTTGGCAGCTTCGCCGCCATCTATCGCCGGGGATTCGACGTCATGGTCAAGACTTGAAGAGCTCGACCAGTTGACGTTTGCGGACTTCCAATGGATGCCCCTTCCCCCGTCAGATTGCCGAAACCGCATTGCAACGTGCTCATGGCACAATTGCGGGATTACTTGCACACTGCAGTACCAGCTCCGTTGATGGACGCCGGAGTAGAGGTTGTCGACCTTGACGACTACGTTGCGAAGATTGACCGCGACTTCAAGACACAACGGTACGACGACATCGACGCGCCATTGTTATACATATGCATTGAGATCGGAGAGGAGACCTGCAGCGCTTTGATCGATTGCGGAGCTACTCGCAACTACATGAGCCAAGACTTTATGGTACGCGCTGGCCTTGGGCCACGCGTTCGGAGGAAGTCGCAGCCTACGCAAGTCACGTTGGCCGACGGTCAAACGCACAAGTCAATCGACCGATGCATTGATTCCGTCCCCGTGTACTTCGCTCCGCATGCAAGCGAGGCCGTGTCCTTCGACATTTTGGACACTCAATTCGACATGATCTTGGGCATGTCATAGTTGCGAAGCGAGGATCACGCAGTGAATTTCTACCGCCGCACCGTTTACGTTCGTGATCGGAACGGAGTACTAGTCCCATGCACGGTGCCTCCTCCTCACCCTTTGATCAGCTGCCACGTGGTGTCCGCCGCAAGCATTTGAGCTTCCATCATCAGGGATGACATCGAGGAGATGGGGGGGTGTTTTCTCCACGCCCTCCCACCCCATGACATTCCATCGATGGACTCGTCACCGGACCCACGCATCACCGAGCTTCTCGACGCCTACGGCGACGTGTTCGAAGCCCCGCACGGAGAAGTACCGGATCGGCCCATCCGCCACGAGATCATCCTCGAGGCCGGGGCCGTACCTCCGCATGGTTGCATCTACCGCATGAGCAAGGAAGAGTTAAGTGTGTTACGGGCACAACTCGACGACCTTCTCGAGAAAGGCTGGATTCGGCCTAGCTCTTCGCCATACGGTGCTCCCGTTCTCTTCGTCCGGAAGAAGAACTAGGAATTGCGGTTGTGCATCGATTATCGCAAGCTCAACGCGCAAACCGTCAAGACCGTCGGCCCTCTTCCGCGCATCGACGACCTCCTCGAACGGCTGGGCGGCGCCAAGTTCTTCTCCAAGCTTGACCTCAAATCGGGATATCACCAACTCGATATCCGGCAGGAGGACCGCTACAAGACCGCGTTTAAGACGCAATATGGGCATTTCGAATGGCTGGTTATGCCTTTTGGCCTTACGAATGCCCCGGCCACATTCCAAGCGGCTATGACAACGGAGTTCCGACACATGCTGGATAGATTCGTACTCATCTACCTTGACGACATCTTGGTGTACAGTCGGAGCTTGGACAAGCATGTGGAGCACCTGCGCACCATTTTGGAGCGGCTACGACAAGCCAAGTACAAAGCCAACCGCGACAAATGCGAATTCGCGCGGCAAGAGCTGGAGTACTTGGGACATTATGTGACGCCGCAAGGCATCCGTCCGCTTGCGGACAAGATCGAGGCCATCCGCGTATGGCCCGAGCCCACCAACACCACGGACGTTCGCTCATTCATGGGGTTGGCAGGCTACTATCAACGCTTCATCACCGGGTACTCAAGGATTGCAGCACCTATGACGAGATTACAATCGCCAAAGGTGCCATTCGTATTCGATGACGAGGCACGCCGATCATTCCAAGCACTCAAGACGACCATGCTCACGGCACCCGTCCTTAGCATCTACGACCCCACCCTGCCACCGAGAGTATTTCAGCCACAAAGTGCCTCCCATCAATTCACTTGATGATGCAAGGAAGAAGGAGCTGCTCGCGTTCGTAATGGTTCTCAAGCGATGGCGACACTTCCTCCTTGGGCGTCGTAGGTTCACATGGGTCACGGACAAGAACCCGTTGACCTAATACAAGACGCATGATACGGTGAGCAGCATGATCGGACGATGGATGTACTTCATCGACCAATTTGACTTCACACCGAAACATCTCGCCGGCCTCTCCAAGCGCGCAGCAGATGCACTCTTGTAAAGACCCGATCTTTGCGCTATGACACATCATGCCTTCGCATTCGACGAGGAACTCCAACGACACTTCATCCGGGGCTATGAGTCTGATCCGGATTTCGCCACGTTGTATGCACAACTATCTTTGGATCACCTGCCGACCAGCCACTATCGCATCGTCGACGAGTACTTGCTCCTCCACTCGCGAGGCAAGGACTTATTGTGTGTCCCACGAGACCGTCGTCTTCGGASTCGCCTTCTCGGTGAGTACCATGACTCGCGACTCGCCGGCCATTTTGGAGTCAACCGCACTATTGCACGACTTCGACAACGATTCCAATGGCCCGACCTCATTACCGATGTCACTCGGTATTGCGACTCTTGCGAAGTTTGTCGACGAAGCAAGTCCCGCAACCGCAATCCCTACGGCAAGTTGAGCCCGATGCCTATCCCACGGGAACCCGGCCTCTCCATTGCCATGGACGTCACCGGTCCGTTTCCCCACGATCGCTTCGGGCACGACGGCATCCTCACGGTCGTTGACCGTTTGAGTAAGTACGCGCGATTTCTCCCTTGCAAGTACTACGCCACGGCTTCCGAACTTGCGCGCCTCTTGCACACCGGCTGGATTTGCAGCCACGGCGTACCGGAAGACATCGTCAGCGACCGCGACACTTGTTTCATGTCAGCATTCTGGACTTCTCTCATGCAGGAATCCGACACGATGATGAAACCAAGTTCGGCTCGGCATCCACAAACGGACAAGCAACGGAGCGGGCACATCAAACCGCTCAAATGATGCTCCGTACGCTCATCCGTCCGGATCAGAAGGATTGGGTTGACCGCCTCCCCGACATCGAGTTCGCCTACAACACTTCGTTGCATCCAGCGATCGGCGTGACTCCATTCGAGTTGCACCACGGTGGCCGGAACGACCGTATCTTCGCTGATCTTCTCCTCCCACGAACAGCCGACATAGACGCTGCTTGCTCCCCCACTTCCATTCGGAAGTACAGGGAATTGTTGGCTCAAGCCCGTGCGAACATGCAAAAGGCTCAAGTTCGCATGCAGCAGCAAGCCAACAAGCGTCGCGTGCTATGTCCCATCCGCGCCGGTGATCTGGTTTGGGTCTCCGCGGAAGAGTTTGCACTCGAGCAGGATGTTTCGCGCAAACTACTACCCAAGTGTTTTGGACCATGGCCCGTAACATCAGCCGCGGGCGATGAGCCCGATGGCCCCTCATTTGTGATCAACATCCCCCCGCATCTGACGGTCCATCCAGTCTTTCACGCCTCAAAGCTGGCGACATATACACCAGCTAAGAGCGACGACTTCCCGGGCCGACGATCGCAAGATCCTCCATTTATGGATGGTCATCAAGAAGTTGACCGTGTCATCACGGATCGCAAGTATGGCAGCAAGCCTCGACAGTACAAAGTTACATTCAAAGCGTGTGATCCCGACGACACTCGATGGATTTCAGGAGCAGATTTGAAAGCGTCCGCACCGCTGATCTATGCGCAAGGTTAGCTCAGGGAACTTCACGACCTGCCCCTCCCACCCGGACTGTGGTCCCTCCCTCAGACAGACAGCTTCGCCCTCGCAGGTGAGCTCGGTCTTTCAAGGAGGGGGGGGTGTGGCATACTGCGCAGCCACATGGGCCTGCAGGGCCCGACCAGCATTTTCAGCCTAAAAGCCTGAAAACAAGGGCTTACAGGCCCTGTGTCGTTTCAGCCTGAAAGCTTGAAAACGAGGGCCTTCAGGCCCTATGTCGTTTCAGCCTAACACAAGGCCTTCCAGGCCCTGAGTCTTTTCAGCCTGAAACGGAGGGCCATTTTCAGGCCCTCATAAAATCGACCTGCCCTGAAACTTAGGCACCAGACCAAGGTTTTAGCACGGGCCATTTTGGCCTGTTTTCAAGACAACCCTTGGTTGTACTTCAACGCCAGGGTCTGGCACGTTTTGGCATTGGCAAGAGCAGCCTCCTGGACGGGCCAGCACTATATAAGACTGGCCCGCCCTACAGGCTGCAGACAGTCACGAGGTAGTTCCTAGGAACTTCCCAGGCACTTCACGTGCAGGAGGCAGGAGGCAGTCTTCAGTATTCGGCAGCAGCACTCTGGAGGAGCGTTGTAGTAGTAGTAGTAGCGTTAGCAGTAGTCTTCAGCATTGGGCGCTATTAGGAGCTAGAGTACTAGTGGAGAGAGAGAGATGGTTGGCGGAGGCCAGGGAGACTTACCTATGGCGCCATAGCTCCAGCTTCGTCTTCGATGTACCTGCAACAAGGGTCCACCATCTCCTCCTCCCCCTCTCGCCATCTAACTTCTCAGTACCTGCAGACTACGAGAGAGAGAGATTGGTGACTTTGGGACTTGACGACATTTGGATCCAGACTCGACATTGGAATTCAGACATTTGACGAGGGGTTATTTGGGACCTGTACCGAAGACTTGGTGTTGACGACATTCCCATCTTCCCTTCTTCTTCGTCTAACCCCCCTCTTCTTCGTCTGTGTATGGTTGGGGACTGGCRCATTCTTCCTGTGTGAGCGCCAGGCCCCTTCACACCATGGAATGATGATGATGTATGTTTGGGCTGCATTGCAACATTGATTGTTCGGATCATTGGTATTTAAGCCTTCCGCTATGCTATCTTGTACTTTGTGAGAGAGGTCGGTTCTTGTTATGGTCTGCACCTTTACGGTATGCGACACACTGCCATGCATGCGCGCGGCACGGCACCAAAAACCAATGCGCTGGTGACAGCGAAACGGTTTGAACCAGCTCTTATACCAAATTGCAAGGAAAATGAGCAACATCAAAATGACGGAACTCCAAATTGCAACATCACATTGAAAGCCAGATAGTCGTGAGCTGTCCACAAAGCAGAAATGCACTGAAATCATGCCAATGGAGAACCAAAGCCACACACTCAGTTGTAAATGAAAGCCCTGTCCTCTCTCGCCACCATCAACAATGTATCCAAAGTCCTTCCCCCTACTGGCGCTCAGAGCACAGACTACGATTGTACAGCTTCTATACTAGCCTACACCTACGATGAAGCAACCAGAAGACGTCAGCAACAGCTAACAAAGAACATGCAGATGTCACCGATGCAGACCTCCGCGACAACCAGGTACGTGCACTCATATCCCCTCCCTCACTCGGCCTCTCTATGCTCACCCCTGACTTCCACCCATGGCTTCCTCGCCCAAGAACCACCACCAGCCCCGCTGTCCACTCTAAGCTCCAGCCTGGCTATGAGGGCTAGGCTATGGCGCTGCTCCCATGCAGCATCCAACACCACCACATGCCTTTGCGCATCTTGCTCCCGAGCACTAGTGCTAGCGCCAGCGGACTAAGCGCTCAATGATGCAGCGTGCTGCGTCACTTCCAAGTGCCCGAATGTGTCCAGCATGGCCTGCATTGCATTGTGGGTTGTGCCAAGGCATCAACCGGTCATCATAAATGCACGTCAGGTCAACTAGTGAGAAATCTGTGGTTGGGGCATCACTTTGAGGTATGTTGCTCCTTACCTTATCTTCCCTCCTTGTTACTTCTTACCGTGACGAAGTGAGTTCAGCCTTGAGAGTCCTCTCATTGTCAGGTGTCGTGTGGCATATGCGCATCCACACGCGCCTGCAAGGCCCGACCAAACAAGTAAGGGCCCTACAAGGGCCTACAGGCCCTGTGTCGTTTCAGCCTAAAAGCCTGAAAACGAGGGTCATTTTCAGGCCCTCATAAAGTCGACCTGCCCTGAAACTTAGGCACCAGACCAGGGTTTTAGCACAGGCCATTTTGGGCCTGTTTTCAAGACAACCTTTGTTTGAACTTCAACACCAGGGTCTGGCACGTTTTGGCGTTGGCAAGAGCAGCCTCCTGGACGGGCCAGCACTATACAAGACTGGCCCGCCCTGCAGGCTGCAGGCAGGCACGAGGCAGTCACGAAGTAGTTCGTAGGGACTTCCCAGGCGCTTCACGTGCAGGAGGCAGGAGGCAGTCTTCAGGATTCGGCAGCAGCACTCTGGAGGAGCGCTGCAGTAGTAGTAGTAGCGTTAGCAGTAGTCTTCAGCGCTGGGCGCAATTAGGAGCTAGAGTAGCGTTGGAGAGAGAGTGTTGCATACCGTATAGGTGCAGACCAGAACAAGAACCGACCTTTCAATACAAAGTATAAGATAGCACAGCGGAAGACTTAGATACCAGTGATCCGAACAATCAATGTTGTAATGCAGCCCTGAACATACATCATCATCATCGTTACATGGTGTGAATGGGGTCTGGCGCTTCACACAGGAAGACTGCGCCAGCCCAGGACATGCACAGACGAGGAGGAAGGGGATAGACGAAGAGGAGGGGGAAGATGGGAATGTCGTCAACACCAAGTCTTCGGCACAAGCCCAAATAGTCC